AGGTGTTTCCCCTAACCCTGTTCCTTGTCTCCCAGTTTGGGTAATGGAACTTAAAGGGCACTGTTGGGATCCTTGGGAAGGCTAGAATGCAGTCTGGGATAAACTGGGGTTTGTGCCATGTAAAATAAGTCTTCTACACTCTATCCTGGAGAAGCTAAGTAAATAATCTTGCAGTGGACCTTTATCTGCATGATTGCAGGTATTGACATTCATACATATTTCTTTGGCACAGAGTATTAGCATTGTTGAGATGCAAGTTAGAGTGTATGTGTGTTTATTTTTTTTTGCAAGAATAGGCATTCTGGATGCAGTTTATTTATAGATAGTAGCTGGCAGGGGGAAGGGAGGAGTACGAAATGCTATAACCGAATGCACTTTGTGTTAACTTGATGGGCTTTCTCTCTTTTAAAGACATGTAGTTGGTCCTTCCCTTGTGTTGCGGCTTGTTCTTTTGAGGGTAAAAGGGGAAAGCTTAATGAATTTAAGTTATAAATATGTAAATTATGCCCGTTGGATTGGAAGTGTTTGTTAGTTTAGTTTATTTTTAACAGGTGCTTCTATTAGTTTCTGAATGAAGTAATACCTAGACTTATTTGAAGGATGGGACTCAGTGGGGAAGTGTTTCCTTCAGAAATGTGTAGGGGGTATGTTGTGTTATCTAGGGTATGTTATATCTGAGCTGACATCTGCTAGGATCAAAAAAAATGATTTGAGGAAACACATTTAAACTTTGTAAATCAAACTTGAAAAGTAAAATATATGAGATAGAGAAGGCACCCAGCTTGGCTATTGAAGTCTTAAATTATGACACTTGTACCAACTTTGCTTACTCCAAAAACACTTCTGGAGAAAGCTTTTTTGTGTAGGAATATCGATATGTAATCTATCAGCCTTTCCAGCTGCCGTAGGCCAAGCGTGGGGTGGAGAATAGGAGACTTTGGTTGGTTCTTGCTTTATACAGTGTATCTCGGCAGCTCCAGGCTGAATAAAGAGTGAGAGTTGGGGTAGGAAGGAAGAGGACTTAGCTGAAACTCCGAACAAGATCCTCAGCCTTTTGCAGGCAACAAACCTAGGCAGAATACTGTAAGCTGCTGAAAACATACTTCATTCTGAGAATTGGTGCTCAAGGGGTGGGGGATGTTATCATGAAACTCTCAGATAAGGTTCACAGCACTGCACTGGGGATGTATTTTTAGAAGGAAAATTATATTTTCTTAAGTTAGCTCTGTGACAATGTGCGTGCAAGAAGTCAAGGATAGTTTGAGTTAGTCCTTGCAGTGCAGTCATTCTCGCTTCTGCATGGCCCGTCTTAATTGTACTAACGGAGCAACAAGGCTCACAGTGAGCTCTGGAGTCTTACTGGGGCAGACTCAGATGCTTCTCTGCCCCCACCCACAGTTAGCCTGCTATACAGACAGCAAAGATGGCAGAGTGAACGTGTGCCTAGGCCTTAGCTACTCCAGCTTGTTATACGTTTGATTATCATAAACCGCCAGTGAAAATGGATTTTAATGAAGAGGCAGACTCTCAAACAGTATGAAACCCAAGCGTGTTGCTGCTACAGGTTCTGCTATGTGATGGTAATCCTTAGACAGAGGTTTTGGGCAAGGAAGAGGGAAATGGCGATAATGGGCAGCTGTCTGCTTAATTGAATACGAGTCAATCCTGACAAAAAGATGAGTACAAGAAACTAATGAACATGCCTTCATTGCACAGTTAACACTAACTGAATATAGTCTGAATTTAACTAAATACCATGTTTTAATTGTAAATACATTTTGTACCTCTCTTCAGATGTTGCTGTATCTCTTTCATTGCGCTTGCAAAGGCGAAGAAGGTCATTCTTTCTGTTTGGTAATTTGTCTAGTTGCAGAAATGCTAGGCCAAAGTAAAAATAGATTAATGACTCACCTAGTTAGATAATTTCAGGAATTGCACTACAGAGCCTTCATTGGTTTTTCCATGCTGTAAAGCAGCAAAAAAATTAAATTCTAGGTTATAAAACCATCCCTTTTCAGGGGGTCTAGGAACACATCAAAAATAAGTCAAAATTTTTGTTACAAAAGACATTGAACTTGCATGACTATGCTATGATAGTTTTAGCACTTGCAAATAAAAACTATCAAGTATTGTCTCTCCTTCAACCAGTATAAAGTGAAGGTGGCATAAAAAAACCACGTTATGTTTATCCAGTCTGAGAGAAATGTGATCGTAAGCTTGTCTGATACAGATTGGTTGACTGATCAATGTTGTACCTTGAATATTTGCAATCTACCAGGTTCCTTCACAACTCAGTTCAATGCTGTGTTTCAAAGGCCTCTGCTGGAGGACTGCCTCAAGGCTGGCAACCTGGGCTTACTGGGGCAGATCTGCCAGGGAAGAATGGACCTCTCCTTGTTTTTGTTTTCATTTGTGTATTTTGTGTGTCAAAACAATGTGTGTGGGTGTAAAAACAAACTATGAAAAGAATCCATCTGCCCTGTTTGCAGCTTCCCTTTGGTTCTGGAAGTGAGAACAGGGAGAGAGACACTCCAGCGCCTTGCTGTACCATCTCTGCTGGTTTCCCTCAAGTGTCCAAGAAAGATGCCTTGTAGGTGACAAGTGCCCATGTACGTGGGCAGCAGTTTGAGACAAGGATCCTTAGGTAGGAAAGTTGTGCTGGAGGAGCTGGGGAAGAGGATGAGGTCCTGAGGTGTGCTGGGAACTGTGACCTGAGAGCAGGTGACAGACTGGAGAGGAAGACTGGACTGTGAGGCCAGGGCTGTGGAATGAGTTGGGGTGGGAATAGACTGGAAATAGCTGGAAAAAAATAGAATAGCAGATGGCATGTGGTGCAAGATGGGAAGACAAGGACTGGCTGAGCAAACAGCTGCGGAAGGATACTGGAAGGAAAAAAAACTGGTGGAGATTGTAAATTACTAGATAAGGACAGTGGACTGGAAGAAAGAACGGCTGAGGCTGAGTGAGTCCAGCTGAGCATCACTTCCATGAATGAAGATTTCACAGTTCTTTTTTTCTGTATGGAGAAAAATATTTCTGAACCCATTGGTAAAGTATCAATTCTCATTTATTGCTGGTTTGTGTGCAGGGTGACTCTTGTACTGTTCTTCATTAGTCTGTTTGCTCAGACAGTGCGATTTGCAAGAAAGTTTGTCATTCTTAACTTTGTAAGCATGTAGATGTGTTATTTTGAGTCCATTTGCTTTTTTAAACCTAGTTTTCCGATCCTGTCATTTTTAGTAGTGTTCCCTTAGTGGGGAAGGCTTATGTATGGTGGGAGATTTCTTGATGTGATTTCTTCCCCCCCCTCCCTGCCTTGCTTCCAGTGTTGTTTTCTTGGCCAGAGAGACTGTCTTGTCTTCCCCACCCACAGCTTCCTCCTCGATGGGTTTTTCTAACCGTTTTTCATCATGCTGTTGACCAACAATAATGCTATATGGCTTCCTTTTGTACTCTCTCCAGCTTGCATCCATATTGTGCACGTTATGCTTTAGAGAAATTGCACGTTACTCCAGCTCAGGTCTTTGTGGCTCTGAGGAAAATAGCATGAATTATTCCTGTCTTACAACACTCCTAATAAAATATCTTAATTCCTTCAACCAGTTCTTCTTTTATCTGGCCAAATTTTATTACCACAAAAAAGTGTTTAGTTGGATCTAGCCCTTTTTTTTTTTAAACTGGTAGTTTTAAGACTGAGTCAAGTGAGTGCGTGTGAAGGAACAGGAGCGCGTAGGTGCAGCGTAAGGAGGGGAAGGCAGGGCCCTGCTGCAGGGACTGCAGTTGCCTTTAGATGTTTTGGCGCTGCCTCTGGCTCCTCAAAGACAAAACAGGACTAGCATTAGCCTAACGTGCTGGTTGTGTGTCGTGTCTCTTATAAATACCCATAAATGATTGTAGTGTTTCTAGCTAAAAGGAGTAGTTTAATTTGTTTACATCTACTGAAGTTCTCCGTTTTCCTGTTATTGCAAAGCCAGGTAATGTTGTTCGCCTTGTCACCGACTCATGGAACGTCCCTGCCTTGCTCTGCGGAGCTTGCTGAGCTGTAGGCTGGTTGCCGAGTTTGCTCTTGAAGCAGTATGAGGTTTTTCCATTTTATATTTCTCAATTCAGGTCTTGATTTTTCCACTGTAAAATATTTGCTTAGTGTTATAAAAGTTGAAAGATAATTGAAAATGTGTAATCCATTTTAATACATGTTGGAAACATGGAGCAGGCTATCCTGGAAACAACAATCTTGTTTACTCCTAAAGCAGATGAGATGCAAGCAGCCATTGGTAGGGTTTAGGGTGGGAGGGTAGATTGGTTTAGCCCTCTTGCTGACCTAAGCCCTGGTTTGGAGTGACCAAGAGCATGAGGCATTGCAGTCCCCTTATTTCAGAAAGCTCCCTTTTAAGTATTTCTGTCAGTGACTTCTAGCAGTAGTATAGTTACACATATGAGCTTTCAGTTATCAGCAGTTAAGATAACTTTTCCAGTTTGAAGAAAACAAGAGCTGAACCAACAACTTGTGACAAAATATTTGATTATTTGGATTCTGGAATCAAAAATAATTTGAGTTGATAATTCCTTGGTAGGATTTTTTTTTGCATTTTCTACAAAGCATCTTTATTGGTACAGTGATCTGTCCCCTGAACTGGGTGGACCATTGATGTAGTCTAGCATGACAATCCTATGTTCCTGTACAGCTTTTTCCTATTTGGAAATTGAAGGTTTTCCCTACAGCAGCTTTTTCTCCATCTCTTTCCTTCTCTAGTTGCATATAAACAAGAAGATACTCAAGCACTGCATCTATTCTAGTGGGCCAAATCTCTGAAAGTCAGGTTTTCTTAGTAAAAGTGGGTTTGGATATTCTTATTCCATGTTCTTTCTGGCATATATTTATATAAAAGATTCGCAGTCACATTAAACTATTAGATATCTATAATATGACAATCATTCTCTTAAAATTCTGATGGTACTTCTTAAGCAGCATAAACAAAACCTTTATGTTATTTAATGATAAATCATAATGTGTAGTCTTACTCGTAGATGTTTAGAGAAGACTAAAGATTGTGTAAACATGGTTTACTGTATTATGATTTGGGTTTTAAGTGACTTATGGGTATGTGAATATGCTATATATATTACAGAGAAAGTATGTTGTTCCCTTAAAATCTAAGGCATGAATTGTTTAAAAAAAAAATCTGTTTGCAGTACATGGTTCTCTTTAAACTGACTTCACTTGCAGCACTGGCAATTGAGGAGCAAAACTTAACACTGAGACACTAGCGTTAGTGTTGTTAGCAAAACTAGTTGAAGATATTTCTGCTCTTTTCCTGGGATGCGCTATCCCACCACTTGATTTGATGCAACTACTTGGTAGGCTGTGCTGTGAATCAGATCAACTCCCTGATTTCATCTATGATGTTGACCCCCAGGCAGTTCTTTGGGTGTAATGGAGATGACAGCAGCTTCAGTATAGAGGTGAAAACAACTGGGGCGGAACAGTTTGTACCATGCTGAACAATTTGTATAGTGAAAATGCAGCCTTAGCAAGATCATGCTGTTTCAGTTCCAGCTTTCAAAAGCAGGAAAACTTAGAATATAACACTAATGAATTTCTGACCGTAACTGTTTACCTCTCAGTGAAGTTCCTGTGGCTATCTGACTAGATCATCTTGTGACGTTTCATCTAAAATATAGAAAACCATAGCCTAGGATATTGGAAAAAATGGGAATCATTGTCTTAAATCTCCAGGTGCTGGACTGTAACTAAAGTATTTACTCAAAGGTAGGGGAACTGCTCTTAAAGCAGGAGAAGTTTTGAGGTGATAAAGTAGAGAAATGAGTGTATAAGCCGGATCTGAGGTGAGGTGGAGGGAACATCCACTCACAAGTCAGAGCTCTTGCATTAGACTTTTATACAGGCATCATTACAGCTCTCATTTACTTCAATAAGATAACTGAAGTTTTGGATTGTTCCCAGAAAAACTTTAGTTATGCTTTTGCTGAAAGCTTTGAACATTGTGCTGAGCAAGATGAAGAATATGCAGATTTTGTAAAATCTGCTGAAGCTTGTTCAAGAGGGCGTTGAAAGGATTTTCTGCCCTTTTGAAGGGGAGAAGGATGAAATTGTGGTTAGAGCAGTGGACTGTGACTTGCTGTGCCTAACTTGAGGTGTGAGTCGCTAACTGAGGGACCTTGGGCAGGTTGATCTGCTTTGACTTCTTACTCAGAAAAAATGTTCACCCTTTTAGTATCTACAGCTACCTTCCTGCAGAGGTTGTGAATGTATATTCATTAGCATCTTGGGACCACAAATACTATTTTGATGTGGAATTTCATAGTGCTGTGTGTGTTGGATGGCAATAAAGAATTATGAGATAAATATTTATGCTAGATCTGTTTAAAGACCGTACAGGCATGCTCCAGCTTTTCTGTGTAAGTTGTGGCTTTGACTTCTTGTGTGATTCAGTGTGGGGCTTTTAGTGGTTTTGTCAAGGGGGTGATGTTAAGATTTCCTTGGGCTGAGGCCTTTGACTTCAGTAGTGTTGTATCTTATGGTTGTTGGGGCATAGGGGTATGTACTTGCTGCTCTCAAAATATAGCCCAAAGGCTAGAATGGGTCACATCTTCAGGAGTGGAATAACACTTCAACTCACTTCCAGAATTTGGGACTGCTCTTCTGTGTTAAAGTGGCTGCTGTAGTAGGTGCTTTAGTGAAACAATAATAGGATATAAAATTAAGGATTGAACTGTATAGCCTCATCTTTCCTAGCAGCTTTTCTTTGTTTCTCTCATTCCTGGCTTCTCCTTGAGACTTGACACCCTGTATAAAACTATGTGGGGTCCAAATGCACTTCCTCTTAAGTCCTCAGATGGAGTGAATGCCCCTGTGAAAGTGTACTCTGAATCGTGAGACAAGTTACTGTGGAAGAGTTGGAACCACTGCAGGTCATGTGTGCAGGGCTCTTGTACCCTGTGACTATCCTTCTTTTGCAAAGGTTTGAGAAAGCTAGTCCTTGTGTAATTGGTGTTAAACCAAGTTACCATTCAAGAGTTAGAACTGCTGCTTCTGATTTCCTTAAAAAGAAATAAAGTATACCTATACTCACATCTAAAAGAAGCGCTTGCCAGCCTATGCTTGTGAAAGCTAACAAACTCTAAGCAAAGGATCTTTGTGTGTTCTAAAATCATCTTCCTAGATTTGCAGAAAAATGTTTTCTTCAGTAATGTCATTTTTTTCTAAAACATAGGACGTGTAAAAGGTGAAGTCATACATTCCATTCACTGTAATTTAGGTTAATTACTATAAATTTCTAGTAATTTGGTATTATTTCAGTGCTTTTTATATCCTGCAGATGGAGCCATCTGAAACTTGTATATATATATGGTGGGTTAAATTAGCATGTATGTATGTGATGGCTTCAACAAAAACTGCTCATCATTACTGCCTTGCTTGGAAGCTTTTCCAAACACATGGAATGGCTCCTCTGTGAGGAACAGCTAAGGTGGGACTTGTCAATTTGGCGAAGGGATGACATGGCAGGGAGGCATGTGATAGAGGCCTACGAAGTAATGACAGATGTGGGTAGAGATTGATAATTCATCATCTCTTCCAATACTTGAACTAAGGGGCATAAAGCAAAGCTAGTAGGAACTGAATTTAAGCAAAATGAAGTCCCATCACCGCCCCGGTGTAATCGATAGTAGACCTGCGGAACTAACTGTGAAAAGGTATTGTGGATGCTGAAAAACTACACGAATTCTAAGGGAGTCTGGATAAATTCATGAAAGATAAATCAGGTGCCATTTACTAAATAAAGAAAATCACATCTGGCCTAGGAAGTTCCTCAAAAGGGAAATGGGAGAGCATTTGGGATATATAGTATGTTCTCCACTGTTAGAGATCAGGATACTGGTGGAAATGGATCTTACTTGTAACCCAGTAGAGCTTCGCAGTTCATTTCTAATCCTGATTGTAATCTGTTTGTAATATGAAGATGAAACTGTTAGCCCACCAGACTTGGGAGAGAGGAAGAAGACGGATCACTACCTGTCCACTCTCTTTCCAGGCACTTGGCACTCTCTTCCTTTCCCCTCTCAATTCTTAATTTATAAAAACATTTTTTAGTTTGGCAGGGGGGAAGACGGTAAAGGGGAGGTCGCTGAAACAGCACATGCGTCTTTTTTACAATTATGGACAAGACCACTGAAGGTGAGACTAGTGCAGATAGTTAAATGGTGATGTTTTGGGGAAGGAGTGGGCGACTTTAGCATATGGAACCTTTCCCTGATATTCACCCTGCAGACTGTATACTAAAAGTTGCATATTTACACTTTAACACAGATTATTGTTTGACCAGATTCTTGTTCTGTTGGATTCGGTTTGCCAGAAACCGTAAAGGAGTAACTGGTCTTAGTGAGAGGGAAAAATGCGAGTAGTGGAGATCTGCCCACTTCTAAATTTTATCAAATTGGTCTTGCAGTCTGGCTTGCCCTTATGAGGGCCTGTCATCTTTTTTTCTTCTATTTATTTATACCTTTATTTTCCTTCCACCCAAATACGTCAAACTGACCTTCCCTGTCAGTTTGTTCGCCAATGGAAGCAAACGTTTCATGTACTGCAATCTGTTTAGTTTATTGGTATGGAAGTCAAGTTCTTAAAGATGGAATAGCAAATCATGTTTCTTTTCTATCTTTCTGACTACTGCTGAATGGATTATGGAAAATATTTTCTTTTTATGTCCTCTAGGCACGTTTCTCATATATGCGGATGAAGTATCTCTTTATCTCTTGGTTAGTAGTTTTTATTGGCAGCTGGATTATGTATGTTCAGTATTCCACCTACACAGAGCTATGCAGAGGACATGACTGTAGGAAAATAATAGTAAGTATATTTAGCATGGCTTGCTTCTGAAGTGTTTGCCCCAATTAATTCCACAGTCAGTTCAGTCAGTGCCACATGTAAATGAATCAAAAGATACTATTCTGTCATGTTAAAATAAGATTATATCTTTTGTTACAGATAAAAATTATCTATCTTAAATAAGTGTTTTGGGATAGTTTTTTTTTAAATTGTCTCCTAACACCTGACTCATTAAAGGAAAATATAAGAAACGTGGTTGTTGCCCCTGTTCTTGGGCAATTTTGTTAATATTTTTCTCCTTGTTTGTTTCAGTGTGATAAATACAAGACTGGAGTTATTGATGGGTCAGCATGTAGCAGTCTTTGTGCGAAAGAAACATTGTATTTTGGAAAATGCTTGTCAACAAAGCCCAATAACCAGGTGAGGCTTTACATGTGTAACATAGCTCTATTTCTCACAGAAACATTGTTTTCTAGAATATCAAGTAGACCTTAGCATAGGCAAGTTACATCTGTTAAATATAGCTTATTTCAAATGCTATTGTCTGTGACATGCAGAGCATGCCCAAACATTGGTATTTTGAACTAGAAACTCTGTGACACATGACTTAAATAATCTTATTGCCCTGGAAGGTTTGTGTTCTGTTGGTCAGTATGAGCAGGGCCTTAGAAATTAGATAACAATGTTCAGCTGTCAGTTTCACTCTGCTTTACATGTTCTGTTAAGGCTCAGCTGTCTGTAACCAATTGCATACTTTCTCTTTTATGTTTTTTTTTTTTTTTTACTATTAGCCATAATGCATCTACTTTACTGATGTTCAGCAAATATAGGTTTCGGTTGTGTCTCCCTGTGGAGGGGTGGAAATAAATAGTCTTTTTAAACAGACAACACTGTCTTTCCTAGTAATCTGAGTTAGTCTTGAGTAAATGTGTACACTCTGATATTTCTGTACTTTCTTTTGCCATTTCATAAAATTTAGTGGACACATGTCCTAAAAATGGGTTCCTTTAGGCAGCCCTGGTGGGTGTTGCCTTTTTTGTGCAGTCATCTAGTGGTGACTAGATGACTTCTTAACCCCACCGCACCATCACCCACCCATTCTGTGACATCTTCCTTCCTCTTGAACTTGTAGCCTAGAGAACGCCCTGGAGCATACTTCATCTGACAACAACTGTCTTTTGCTCTCTGGATCCTGTAGACAAGCATAGCTCTAGCCTCTCTTGGCTTTAATAGGACACAGAGTGCCTGTCTGAAAGGCTGAAGGGGCAGAGACTGTAATTTTCACTTTTGCTGCTTGCCTTGCATTTACAGGCACCTAGAGAAGCTGTCTCATGGCAAGAGGAGCAATGCTGTTCTGCTTGTTACGTACTTTGGTCTTTTAACGTTATCATGCTTTGTTGCTTGGGAACTGCTTTGCTGCAGTCTTGCACAGTGTTTGGGAGATGATAGTCGTTTATGCAGTTCCTGCCATGCAAGTACCTCTGTCAGTTGTGTTGGCCTAAGTCCCTGGGATTTGGGTCAACTGATCTGACTTGGAGGGCGTTGCAGGTTTTCTCGTGTTTGTAAGGCGTTAAGCTGGAGCAGCTTTCTGATGCAGCAAACAGTGCAGTTGTAGAAACAGCTGTGCTTGTGTAGCTGGGAGGATACCACAACAGAGTTGGGAAGAAGAACCAGCAGCCATGGCAGTGGTCTCTATACAAGGCTGTTGTAGCTGCCTAACACTTCACAATTTCAAGTCAGAGCTCATGCATTTTAGTTTCTCTGAGTACGTCTTCATGAATACATGCAGAAAGGTAAGTATTTGAGGATTATGTAACATGGATCACTTTTGACTAGCTGAAGATTAAGTGAAGGAGGGTGCCTCTGAATCCTTGTGGATTTTTAAAAGTGTGGTAAACCTGTAATTGCTGTGAACTCTCCAATTCTGCAATTACAGAATCCAGTTTCCAAGGAGATGACCAGATCCTTTCACGTTTTGACAGAATACTTACACTTCTGTATGCATACTACCTCTCTGCTATCCGGCTTCCCAAACAGAAGCCTCTTAACACTTTCGCAAAGAATGGTACTAATGCCAATATATTGTTTATCAACCTGTCTTTATATTTTGACAGCGTAGTCTCTAAGCGCTTGCAGTAGCGTGTTTGTACTCGAATTTGCCGTTCTTTGAATGCTGGCTCTGTGTGCTGTCAGTAAGCGCTCAGCTTCCTGCTTTGTGTTGCTGCTTGACTTTTAAAGCAGTGTTTGGAGCACAACTGATCTTTCGATGAAGGACTTCCACAATTCTTTTGCTCTTTTTTCCTCTTTTCCCATGTAGATGTATTTAGGAATTTGGGGAAATCTGCAAGGTGTTATAAAATGCCAGATGGAAGAAGCTACTCAACTTGATTTTGGTACTGATCCAGAACCAAGAAAGGAAATAGTCCTATTTGATAAACCAACTAGAGGAACCACTGTTCAGAAATTCAAAGAAATGGTATATGGTCTTTTTAAAGTAAGTATGTGTTTGTTTGTTCTTTTTTGATAAAGGCTTATTTTCTTATAGTTGGAGAGAACGCCCTATTGTATTAACTTTGTTCTTGGAGTGAAGTTAGAAAAATTAGCGCGAAAATAGTTTGTCCCAGAGATGCTTTGAAGTTTGAAGTAACTATTGTATTTGTTATCCTTCCCTTTTTATCAGATGGAGGCTGGCATGCATGTTACAAGTCTAAAACTTTCCTTTGTTTAGGAAGTATAGTAAAAATTTTGCGCATATTTGCTATTTTTGGCTGTATTGTAACTAGGTCCTAGGACTTTGGGCTTTGAACAATTTGAACAGGATTCCTTGACTAATCTATTTGTGTTCAGGAAGGATTACTATGGTAACTGAGCTAGCAGGAGTCTCTCTAACCAGAATGGCCAGACACATTTCTCAGCTCTTTCTATACCATGTTAGTGTGATGCTTGCTTCTACTGCTTTAATGCTAAGGCAGAATTCTCACAATACGGTTATCACCGTGATTTGGGGTTTTTATTTCCTTAAAATTCTTTTGTTGTTATGATAGCACCGATTTCCAGTGACTGATGCAAATCTGTCCCAGCTGAGCATGCACATCTGTATGCATGCAGATGTATGTACATACATTATGTAAAGCTAGTGACTTAGTTGTCATGCATCACAGTAGCTTTGTCTCTAAGGTTGAATGAGCATCAGATAGTCTAGAGTAATTTTTAGGAGAATTTAGGAAGAGTGTGTCTGACTGAAAAGAGAATTGTATCAAATTTTCTGTGTGCACTAACAGTTGTTGAAAATGAACCCGTTATGATTCATTCAGGAACAGCTTGTTTCTCTATACTGATACAACAGAGGTGGTTATATCAAATAAATTAAGTACTGTAGTATACTTCTAGTATGGGATTGATACTAAATGTGTTTTAGTACCTTTGATAGTTGGCTGAAACATAATTGATTATTGTAATTTCTCTGCATCTGCAAGGTCTAATCAGATGAAAATGAAAACCTGATCTAAACATCTGAATTCTACAAACATATTTTTAACAAATTACTTAAGCTATTGGATAACATTTTTCTAAAGACTACTCTGACAAAGAACAATCTTTGAATTTTAACGTTTGCATTTTGAAATGCAAAGAATGCTTAGCGCTTTCAGAAGTTCATATACTGGATGCCTTTGAAAATAAAACAAATTTAAGTTCTTCAGGCATCTGGTAGCAAGTCCTGTAACATCTGTAACTGCTAAAAACCAGAGCATAGTCTACCTTATTCTCTACAGAAAGAGAATGGCAGGAGGGAGAATTACAGGTGAATGGGTAGTAGCTAATGAAATTTTTTTTGTTTGTTTTTAGGCAAAATTGGGTGAACAAGGAAATCTTTCAGAATTGGTTAATCTCATCCTATCTTTTGCTGATGGAAACAAAGATGGTAGAGTTTCTTTGCCAGAGGCGAAGTCTGCATGGGCACTTCTGCAGCTAGATGAGTTTCTATTAATGGTCATCTTGCAGGATAAAGAACACACCCCCAAACTGATGGGTTTCTGTGGGGATCTCTACGTGATGGAAAGAGTTGAATATACCTCTCTCTATGGAATTAGCCTTCCATGGATCATAGAACTCTTCATTCCCTCTGGCTTCAGAAGAAGCATGGACCAGTGGTTTACTCCATCATGGCCAAGAAGGGCAAAAATAGCTATAGGGCTTTTAGAATTTGTGGAAGATATTTTCCATGGACCTTATGGGAATTTTCTTATGTGTGATACAAGTGCCAAAAATTTGGGCTATAATGACAAATATGATTTGAAAATGATGGACATGAGAAAAATTGTGCCAGAAATTAATTTGAAAGAAATAATTAAAGATCGTCAGTGTGACTCAGACTTGGACTGTGTTTATGGTACAGACTGTAGAACTCTATGTGACCAAAGTAAAATGAGATGTACCACTGAAGTCATCCAGCCAAATCTGGCAAAAGCCTGCCAGTTACTGAAAGACTATCTGCTTCGTGGTGCTCCTTCGGATATCCATGAAGAACTAGAGAAACAACTGTATTTGTGTATTGCCCTTAAAGTCACAGCAAATCAGATGGAAATGGAGCATTCTTTAATACTCAATAACTTAAAGACTTTACTGTGGAAGAAAATTTCCCATACAAATGATTCGTAATTTCTCTGCCCACAGGAGGTAATATTGGTGCCACTAGAGGTGGCTTACCACATGTGATAAAAAGTATCCACAGCATTTTTTTAAAAGACATTTCCTTACTCGTATTTCATTAATGCCTCTGAAACTCTGTCATGTCAGTACCCTGTGACAGGGCTTCTCAAAGAATGAACATGCCACTGAATGAGCTGGTCAGAGGCCAAAAGCACCTTCTGGTGTTCCAGTGTTGTGTTACGGACATAGAAACAACCCTGCATGCTTGACTGTTCTGTGCACTTTGTCAGATCTTGAACAGGATGAAAGTATTCACTGTGCTACCACATCAACTAACGTAACTTCTTACAATTCTGTGAAAATCATCACTCACTTGTGAAATATTGGCAAAAGTGTTTTATCCCAAGTAGTTTTATGAAGAACCACCACTACTGCAAACAAATGTGGCTGCATCCAAGCTGCTGTTGTGAATAAACTGAACTGTGAGGTCGAAGTTTACTAATACCTTGGCATGGCAGAATTTGCACATTAATAGATAATTTTTAAACTGTTTGGAAAATTAAGATTTTATTCTAGAACCTACAGGTTTTAATACGAGAGACTCTTAGTTAGATTCTGTTTACACCTTGTTACCTCATGCTTCCATCTTGAATGTTTAAGTAGCTCAACATTTTTAATTAAAAGTCTTGATATCATGTACCATGTCGGGAGCCAAGAATTTTGAAATATGTTATTTCTTAAAAGGATGTGGATACTCTAGCAGCAATATAGATAGCGCTTTTGAAAGCAGAGGCTATTGTGCTTCGGTCAACATATTTAACCCAAGATAAGCTGTAGAAGATCTTGAAGGCTTGAGTTAGTGGACTAACCTATTCCATAATGAGAATGGAAGGTAACTTTTTAATACTGATAGCAGAAAGTTGAGAACCCTCAGAAGAGGGAAATTCCACAGTAGGAATCCAGTATATGACTACAGCATGCTACAGCTGTAGACAGTCTTGATTCTTTAATCTCCATACAAATTGAGCTACAGACTTGTACTTAAATCCTCCTGATCTATTGCAGCAACCATCTAAGCCAGACCTAGACCTAAACTGTAGGACAGATGTTGGATTGATCAATATCATGGGATATTACTTGGACTAAAGGGAGACCTAAGTGGGATAGTAACAGCTAGGAACTACACAAAACATAAAGCAACGATACTCTCTTCAGCATGTTACTATTCTCTTTCCTGGTAGGGAAGGAGTTGATAAGTCTCAAGTCATGAGTAAGTTAACACTCATAATGTGTCACTCACAATGGCATGATCACTGTACAACTTCTAATTTGCATCCCTGCTGTTGCTCAGACTTAAATCTGTCTTCCCAATTGTGTAGAATGGGATGTGCATAAAATGCTTAAACTCTGCCCAATACTTATCTGTTAATGTTTAATTTATAAATGCTTTAGGTATGAAGTACTGAAATCCTTGGTGATTTTAAGGAGGCAGTCACCCATATACCTCTACATACCTGACCCCTTAATTCATTTTCAACATAGGTAAGAAGAACAAGCTTTAAATATTTGAAAGGGTTTCTTTAACTGCTTTGGATGTCCTGTATTAAGTGCATTCCTTAAATGATTAAACCTGAGTACAAAAATATCATCAATAGACAGGTGACAGCAAATCTCTCTCACCATATCACATGTAATAGTAAGCAGCTTGGGTTAAGTGTGCTGTTTTGTAAACATCAACTTTTTAGTTTAAGAATTACTGTTAACTATTGTCTCTAACTTGATAGTGTCCTCCAGCTAGGAGCTAATAATTATCTGTAACCAGCAAAGAACTTAAAGGGGTAATTTTCTTGGTGAAACATAGGAATGTAATATTTCTAGATTCTAGGCAGAAAAGACTATCAAATCCAAAATACAATTGGGGATTTTAAACAGCTTCTTGGAATAACTGGAAAACATGTTTAATAGTACAGTTTGTACAGAACCTTAATTTTTATTGCTGTTGAATCAAGTTGAGACTTTCATTGAAAAATATACTTTTGTTTACAATAAATCAAAGGTGTCCTTTCTCTTTCAATAGCAGTACTCACCACATCGTCTATCTATCAGTATCTTAAAACATTCATCCACATAGCCTACTTGACTCCTGCTCTAAGTGTGCAAATAACTTCAGTGAACGTAATGGGAAATAAATAGCATGCCTCCATGAAATTGAGGTATGGCAGAAACAAAGGGTAGGGGCAAGCCCAGGCCTCTCTAAATAAGAAAGCATATGCAACTTAAAAGTAAATTCCCTTTTGGCTAGGCACTAAATAACATAAAACACTTAAGGATAGTGCATCTTTCAGCAGCAGCCAGAGTTGGAGCCAAGTGCTAAAGTACCAACTTCAGTTACTGAAGACAGCTTCAGTTCTCCAATTGA